ACAATGTCTCTGCAGTCCTCTAGATAGTCATTTACTCTGCCAGTCATTCTTTGCTAATCTTTGGTTCCTTCTGGGGTATTTACTGGAATTTGCTTCAGGTGGGATACTCATTAACCGTTTAACCACAAGCTTATCGCTTGGCAACAAATGTTCTTGTTTTTCTACTTTTTGCCCTATATATTGTGTGGATTTCCCCAAAATAAACAAGACTTGATCAGAACCCTGTCTTGTCTCCATTTCTCGTGTCTCTTGTCCCTCCTCATCCTCACTCCCCCTCTAGAGTCCTCATTGCTCGACCTGCAGGACGGGTCATTGTGTCATTATTCTTATATCTTACACATGTTCTATAAATCATTTTGTATACTCTCAATATGTAATTAAAACATATAAGAAAAAAAGATAAAGAAGAAATGGCCAAAGTTAGTCATGATAAGATAAGCACCAGTGAATTGACAAGGGAATGGGACATGCCCGGTTCTGGTCTCTGCTCCTTCCTAACTTACAGTTTGCCCTGGATAGAGGCACTTCCATTTTTGTAACTTCATTTTTCAATTTTGAATGAGGTTAATAATGCATACCACACATAAATCTGATGATAAAAGTGCCTTATAAAAATAAAAGTGCCACCCTGGCTGGTTTGGCTCAGTGGTAGAGTCGCGGATTTAATTCCAGCCAGTCGCAGATTTGACTCAGTTGTGGTTCATCCCCAGCTCTGGTTGGGGTCATGTAGGAGGCAACCAGTTCATGTGTCCCTCTCACATCAATGTTTCTCTCTCTCTCCCTCTCTCTGTATCTGAAAATAAATAGAAAAATATCCTCAGGTGAAGATAAAAAATAAATAAGTAAAAGTGCCACCCAGCTAGCATGGCTCAGTGGTTGAGCATTGACCCATGTACCAAGAGGTCCCTGGGTCAATTCCGGGTCAGGACACATGCCCAGGTTGTGGGCCAAATACCCTGTGGGGGGCATGCAGGAGGCGACCAAGCAATGTTCTCTCACTGATGTTTCTATCTCTCTCTCTCTCTCTCTCCCTTCCTCTCTAAAATCAATAAAAGGAAAAAAAAATTTAAATAAAAGTGCCATGAAAATGTCAAGTGGCATTATTCTTGACAATTTCAGAGTTGCTCGTCAGAGAAAAAGCTACATCCTATGACTCAGTCCTAAACCCCTCTTCCTGGGGCCCGCCCAAGCTTACAGAAATGAGCTGTGGTGCAGCTGTTTCAGCTTCCTGGGTGTCAAGGTGACTAGGTTATAGGGAGGAAGAATGTCAATTATATACAACAAGGGAACAAGGAGCCTCAGCTGGAGGAGGGGGGGACAGGGCCATTCCCACTGTCCCACCAGCTGGTGAATTGGACTACCTGGACCAATCTCAGGATGTGATTCCCCCAGCTCACATCTGAACCTCTTCCTGTCCTCTAAGCCCAGATCCAGCTCCACAGAGTGAGCCTAGAAGATTCACTTCCAACTTCACAATGGCTGGAGGCAAATGCAATAGAATGACCAATCTATGCTCCTCTCCACACCCAACCCCACCCTTTGACAGCTGCACTCTCCAGATTCCACTGTAACTGTTGCTTCCTCCCATCCCCCAACCACCCAAAAATACCCTTAACAATCATACCGTTAAAGCACAAAAAATTTGTTATTTGTTCGGGGTTTTGTTTTATTGTTTAAATCCATGCTCCTGTTCCCTCCCACTACTGTAGACATGCCTGGTTGTTTAGAAGGGGACTGTGCACATTTGTTGATTCTCTTTGACCTCTTGGCTGGCTCACCCACCAGATCCGTGCAAATGAAGAGTTGATAGCCTTCCTTGAGCCCTCCCAGTGGGTCTTTGCCCACAAAAACAACCCCTACCCCCTTTTTGTACAAAGCTCTTCTTGGCTCTGAAAGCAGGGAGGGGCAGGATGCAGCTTTTATTTGTCTTTGCAAACCGCCTTCCCTTTGTGGACTTGTTCATCTTAGAAGTGTCTTAGATGTAGCTGAGTTACTGTATTTGGGGGTTGACTGCTAGAAGCCAAAAGATCCCCCCGTTGACATTTTCTGAGCGTCCAAGTCCTGTCTTCCTCTTCACAGGAAGGTCTCCCTGATGGCCAGGGTTGTGGTGCCACTGATACCTGACACTAAACGGGTCCAATGCCACCTGTCACTACTTGAGCCAAATTAAGCAGAGAAGGGGCTGAATTATATATGAGCGTTTATTCCAACAATGCCAGCAGTATGGAGAGAGCAGTAGGTCATCCTCAACATTCTGCTCTCCACCATTTCATTTCAAACAAGCTCTTATACAGGGTTAGTGGGTGGGAAAAATCTAAAGTTCCTGAGTTCCCAGGGTCTGCCCTCTTTCATTGTCCTTGCAAGGATTAGCCCCAGACACTGCCTCCCTTCGGATAGGCTCTGTCCTTGACCTGGCTCCAGGCTGCCCTGTCTTCAGGGCCTGTTCTCCTTGTAACATGTCCTTCAGTCTCCCAGGGCCCGTAAGGAAATCTTTTCTTTATAGTGAGTAGCTATTAAACAATTGTGACTCTATTTTTATTATAACTACCTTCTCTTATTACAACTACCACTGACCTTTCCCCAGGAGTTCAAGAAAACACCCCAATTCTCCCCACAGTGTCCTGCTCTCTTCTCACATGAGGGCACTTGCTCCACACCCCAAATAACCAGCTACTGCAGGCCAGGAGGTACTTTGCCAAAGGGAGTTGAAGGGCCCTGGCCGGTTTGGCTCAGCGGTTAGAGTTGGCCCTTGGACCAAAGAGTCACGGGTTCGATTCCAGTCAAGGGTACATACCTTGGTTGCGGTTTGGTCCCTGGCCCTAGTCGGGGTCCTGCAGAAGGCAGCCACTCTCACATCAATGCTTCTCTCTCTCTCTCTCTTCCTCCCTCTCACTCTGTCTGAAAATAAATGAAAAAATATCCTCGGGTGAGGATTTAAAAAAAAAAAAATTTAATCAAAGGGAGTTGAATAGAGCCAAGGCTTGGACATGGCTGAGCAGACCAGGAGCTGAGGCCCTGGGTCCCTTCCTGTTGTCCAGTCATCAATCATGCAAGTTTCTACTCCCTGTGGGGCAGAGGAGACAACTAGAGAAGGAGGGACTCCAAAAGGTGATGCTTCCTGCCTTCTCAGGACTGTTCACTCACCCTCACCCCGTGGAGGAAGAAGACTTACATCAACAAAGTTGCGCTCCCAGGAAAGTGGGGAGGTGAATAAGAGGGGGCGGAGGACATGGTCTTCCTCTCAGGTCCCCAGAACCTACAGAGGAACTTGCTTAGTTCAGACTAGACCTGAAGGGGACAGAACGTGACAAGTGTTCCACTGCCCTGAGACACAGTTTACCCCTTTGTCCCCCCCTACCAACCCTGCCTGAAAACTCTAATGCAAACAACAGACTCGGATAATTAGTCATCCTCCCTGACGGGGCCTGAGAGTCAGTCCTGGCTCCAGGAAATAACTGGGTGATTCCTTTCTGCTGAGGCTGCAGGGTTGGGCAGGGCACAGTATTACAGAAAGGCTTGAAGCTGCAGTTTGCCCAGCCCCAGGGACCCCTACCCTGACCCATGGGGCACGAGTACTCCATGATTCATGTGTTCGTACAACTGCCAGCTCCTCAGACCATCACCCCAACACAAAGGACCCTATCCCTGAATACAGGGACAGACTCTTAAAGCATGCCTCCCACCTTAGACCCGGGCATGGGCAGCTACAGTGAACTTAGCCATCCTCAGTGGTCCAGACAGAATACTCCTGGGCCAGGCATTGGGTATGCCTGGTGTACCCTGTTGGCCTCCACTTCACTGTGGAAAGAAAGTGGACTGGTGGCAGGCCGGTGTGGCTCAGTGGTTGAGCATCAACCCATGCACTAAGAGGTCGCCGGTTCAATTCCCAGTCAGGGCACATGCCCAGGTTGTGGGCCCAATCCCCAGTGGGGGGCGCGCAGGAGGTGGCCAGTCAATGTTCTCTCTCGTCGATGTTTCTTTCTCTCTCTCCTTCTTCCTTCCTCTCTCTCTAAAAATTAATAAAGAAAATTTTTTTTCTTTTTTAAAAGAAGGAAATCTTACCCTTTATAAAAAAAAAAAAAAAAAGAAAGAAAGTAGCCCTGGCCAGTTTGGCTCAGCTTGGCTCAGCAGTTAGAGCATCCGCCTGTGGTCCAGAGAGACCCGGGTTTGGTTCCTGCTAAGGGCACGTATCTCGGTTGCAGTTTGTCCCCGGCCCTGGTTAGGTTGTGCAGGTGGCAGCCACTCAATGTGTCCCTTTCATGTTGATGTTTCTCTCTCTCTCTTTCTCTCTCTCCCTCCCACTCTATCTGAACAAAAAATGGAAAAATGTCCTCAGGTAAGGATTATAAAAAAAAAAAAATGAAGAAAAATAAATAAATAAAGTAGACTGGCCCTAGCCCAGGACCCTCCTGGCTCTTCTCCTCTCACCACACCCAGAGCAAAACACGTCTTCAGGAACCCTGTTAGGACTATCTCTGCCCCACTCTGGATCCCTCACAGCCTGGCTCAAGCACCATTTCCTTTCTTAAGCCAATTCTAGAACTCTCTCTGCTGGGGACCACTTGAGCTTTCTTTAAGATGGCTTCATCCAGAGAGAATGTCTTTTCTAATTCACATAAAGTCACCTTATGAGCTAGCAGCGGCGTGTCAGAGTCGGATCCATCATCTTATGGACCTTCCCACAGCTCCCCTGGCTGGTGAGTCACTGAGTCACTCCCAGAGGTGACTGAACAAACCCTCTGCCAGTTGGTATAGCACCAAGCAAAGGAGGAAAGAGATATCATTGGGAAGCCAGACACAGGATTAGATTTGACCCCCAAAAAGGTGTGTGTGTGTGTATGATTGTACTATATATGGTACAATTATCCACCACTGAATTTGACTGAGACAGGCCAACTAGAAGGTGCCTCCACCTGCCCAATTTATTTTTAGCCACTGAGAACCTCATGGTAGAGCATAGCCAAGACCCTCAGGAAAGTGACATATTCCTGGAAGTTTACCTGGTCTTTGCTCTGGTCTAGGCCGGCCATCAGCGTTCCAATTCCGGACTTCTGCAGTTTCTAATGAATTAGAATGAGAAATCCAGACTCAGTGGTTATAAGAACCTGGGTTCTCCCCCTGTTTCTCCTCCAAGGAAGCCCTCACTCATATAAGTGGCTCAGGGGGTGCTCACTTGTCACCAAAGATGTGAGTCCACCTTGGCTTCACTTGGCTTTGCCTCTCCTCTGCTCCTGCCTCTCACTCAGGGTGAATACCAGGCTGAGAGTATCCCCCACCAGCTCAGGAAAGTGGACCAATGGGCTCAGTAAGGCATGTGACCCAGGGCCCCAGAATGTGGACAAATATGAGTCCGAGCACTTGGCCCTCCACCTCTCCTAATTCTGCTTCTAAAAGGCAAGAGATAAGAAGAGGAGGCCTGGGAGCCACTCACTCACCTCACCAATGAGCAGCTCCCTCTTGCTCAGGAAGTTCTGGTCACCCTCTCTGCCAGAGTACTGGTGGAAGATGGACATGAGGAGGCCAGCGGCCTGATCCAAGGAAGCTGCCATGCTGAGGGCTGGACTCAGAGTTGGCGCACAGGGGCTGGTCAGTGCCGTGAGCCGCAGGGCCCTCTAATTCACCCACACACCCCGAGAGCTCTGTCCCCACCACCCTCCACTCCCTTTGCCTAGCCAGCTTGAACCACCCAGCCTCAGGCACACACGGGCGACATTCGGAGACAACCCAGGGCTTGAAGAGGGAGGAGGGAGTAGACTCTCGGGCCAAGAGATCAGTGGCCTGAGGGGGACCAGAGCTAAGAAGGAGGGTGGTTCGGTGATTCTAAAGGGTTCCAAAAGAATTAGGGAAGCGGGGGTTGGACAGAGGAGCCTGAGCGGTCTCACTGGACCACACATGGCGGGCTGACACACCCTCCCGTACCCCACAAGAGCTTACTGCAGAGCCGCCCCAGAAGCCGTAGCCCAGGGCCAGCCCACGCCCCCGACATCTACACAGACGTGCCCAGTGTGGAGCCCACACGGTGGGCCTGGGTGGCCGCAGCCACACCAACCCTGGGCAGCTGAGGGACCGCTGACCTGGCCCAAGGGAGCCCTGGAGGGCATGCACGGAGCCACCCGCTGGCTCACCTGCCTAACAGCCCCGCCAGGAGGTGCCACGCCCACCGCACGGTTTGCGCAACACCCACCCGGCCCACTTAACTCTTCGTGCCTCCTGCCCCAGGGCTGTTCCGGGTGGGGCCGGCTGGCGAGATGGGAGGACCTCGTGGAGACCACTGCTCAGTTTGCTCCCTTGCGACACCCAGGAAGAAGGAGGTGAGTAGCCAGAGTAGTGTGAAGGACTGTGCAATACCTATCCACCAGCAAAAATAAATTCCTACCACTCAACTCCCTTCCCCGCCTGCCTCAATTCCACCTGGAGTTTTCAAGTTAATGAGCCCAGCCTGTAAGCATCATTCATTATTTACCCTTCACGGAAAGGTGATGACTGAGTGAGCTTGCTGCCAGAGCGCGGAAATGGAGGAGAGAGAGGGGTGCTGCCAAGTTTGCCCTTTTTGTCAGTGTTGTCAGGGTGGCCTCCTGTGAGCGGGTGACAAGCCAGCCCTCAGGAACCACACCGCAGCCAGGGTCTTCATTCTCAAAGCACTTTCCCCCTTAGTGTTCTCTGCATGTTAGCAGCATCACTGGAAGGCGAGCGAAAGCCTGGCACCGCTTCCCTTTCCAGAAGGCCAAAGCTAAGCCTGGGTAAGCTCAGTGATGTCCACAGTGAAGACCGGAGTGGAGTGGGAGCCCGGACCCTAACACCCAGAGGCTCTCAACCCACTCAAAGAGAAGCTCTGTTTGCCCCCAACCCACCCCCAGCCAAAGTGGACAAAACATCTTCAAAACCAGCCCTGGCTGGCATGGCTTAGTGATTAGAGCCTCATCCTGTGTACCAAAGGGTCAGGTTTGATTCCCAGTCAAGGCACATACCAGGGTTGCAGGTTCGCTCCCCTCCCCATCAGGGTAAGTGTGGGAGGCGACCAATTGATGTGTCTCTCTCACATCGGTGTTTCTCTCGCTCTCTCTCTACCCCCCCTCCCTCTCTTCCACTATCTCTAAAAATATCAAAGTAAAATATATCCTCAAGTGAGGATTAACAAAAAACAAAAAGACAGCCTCCAGACACCTAGAACGGAAAATGTTTATTTCCTTTGCTGGAGGGAAGCGGAAGGAGGGTCTGCCCGGGAGGGAGAGGAGGGCACAGGGCCACAGAGCACCTGTGAGAGGAGCAGTAGGGGCTGGGCAGGGGCTGAGCCGGGTCATTTGTGGTCCTCCAGGAAGAAGTTATTGTAGGCCATGCACAGTGTGGTCAGGAACACCGAGTACTCCTTAAAGTCGATCTCCTGATCGCTGTTTTTGTCAAGGTTCTTCATCAGGTCATCAATGCCGCTCTCCTGCATCTTCTTGGAGGGCCCAGGTAGAGGGACAGGTCAGCACCCCTTTCAGCCCTGCCCCACCACTGCCCAGGGCCTCCCATCCCCTGGGAAGGGAGCCTCAGGGTGACCCCCAGCTGAGTCAGCAACACTCTGAGCATCTTGACCCCCAGTCTCCTCCCAGTCTCCCCCCAGCCCACACCTAGCCCTGGGGCCTGGCACTGGGGACCTGACACCTGAATTTAAATTACAATAGGAAGGCAAGACCAGCTTCCCTTTTTCTCACCACTTTCTACCATCCAAACAAATAATAATCTAGATATTATAAAACACCTGGTAATATGCCCGACCAGTGTGGCTCAGTGGTTGAGTGTCAACCCATGTACCAAGAGGTCGCTGGTTTGATTCCCGTTCAGGGCAGATGCCCAGGTTGTGGGCCTGATCCCCAGTGTGGGGCATGCAGGAGGCTGCCAATAGATGTTCTCTCCCAATGATGTTTCCATCTCTCTCTCCCTCTCCCTTCTTCTCTCTCTCAAATCAATAAAGGGAAAAAAAATTTTAATAAAACACCTGATAATAGGTGGGTGACAGTGTGACATTGAACATGATCCTAGTCTCTGACTTCTGTCCCTATAGAGGACAGTTGAGGATTGACCCAGACTACACATCTCTCCATGACAGCAGTGGGTTAGAGCTGAGAAGCCACAGTATCCTTCCCCTGCTAGCAGAATTTACAGTACAACTGTGTGGAGGTGCCCACCTGTAATCACTGTCTGATCCCCTGCCCTCCCAGCCTAGCTCACCAGAGAATTGAGACAGCGCCCTCCAGTGTATAGGAAGAAAACACGGACATCCTGCCCTCCCCTCACTACCTCTCAGTTTCCGCTTTTTCACGGGAGACATGACACTGGGACATAGAGAGATGGAAACGGTCTCTCTGTGATGCAATCCTTGTCCCCAGTCAGGGCTCCTGTTATAACCAGGTCCTCCCCCAGGGCCTCTGTCATCCTGTAATTAGCCCCTACTGGACTTGTGTCCCCTCCCTCTGCCTTCATTAACTCCAGGATGCAGAGAGCCTGGCAGGAAGGCCAGAGAGCAGGCCTGGGAACTCCCACATCTGCTTCAGTCCCCTGCCCCTAGAGGCACACACAGGGGAGCCTCTCTCCGCGGAGGCCCCCCGGGGTTCAGGATATGACAGGAGATGCACCCAGGCTGAATTTTAAAGGAAAAGCAGAAGGTGATCCACAGGCCTGACCTGGAATTCCAGCCCAGCCTCTCATGAGCAGGGTATTCCTAGACAAGTCACATAATGTACCTGAGCCTCGATGTCTTTCTACTGTAAAAATAATATTATAACTACCTCATAGGCCTTCCCCTCTGTCAACTCCCTCCCACCATCTGCATCTGGTAAGAACTACCTCCATCTTGTTCCAACCCTGTGTTCACAAACTAGAGAGCAATCCTTCTGGTCCTGTGTCAGCACAGCTGAGAGCTCTGTATGGGGAGGGGGGTCTGCCCTTGAGCTGTGCGCCTCACCTATGATGCTTGGATCCCCTCCTCACCTATGACGCCTCACATAAGCTCTGCCGCCACTGTGTGGGCCTGGCCTCCATCTCAAAGGTTCCTTGACTTTGTTCTCTAAACCCTCACATAAACTTCCTTCTTCCCAGTGAAACCTGACTCATCCCTCAGCACAGAGGTCTAGAGTTCTGTTGGCCCGAGATGCCCACCCTCTTCCTTTGGTCTCTGTCCCTTTTGGCCATCCTGCTCCTGGCTGAGACTAGAGTACCCTGAGTGTAGGTGTGTGTCCCCTCACTCTGGGTCTCTATGGAGGCAGGGCAGGTCTCCCGCCTCCTCTGGGACCTCCTGACAGTGATATCAGTGCTTTCTCTTTCTGCCCTCCCCTCTTATGGTGCCCACTGGGAGCACTCGAGCTTTGGGGAGAGTGGGGGAGGGGACAGCCACCTACCTCGCCAAGGCACAGCTCCTTCTTGATCAGCTCCTTTAGTTCCTTCTTACTCAGGGTCAGTTTACTGCCCTCTCTCCCCGAATATTTGTGGAAAGTAGTGACCATAGTGGTCAGGGCCTTCTCAAGAGGGGTCTCCATGATGGTGTGCAACTCTGGAGGGGGAAGGGAGGAGGCAGAACACACTTCCTGAAGCCAGACCTTCTGCTGCCCCCATCACTAGCCAAGTTCCTAGACCCTCCCTCAAGGACCAGAGACTGGAATCTATGGTAAGACCAAAATCCACCAACAGATGGACCCAAACGTGTCAAGACGGGTTCTAGGGAGACCCAAGGCTCACTTGGAACAGCCCGAGCAGTGAGACCGACTACCCCCCGAAGGAGTTCGCACATTGCCCTGCTTGGGGGGGGGGGGTGCTAAAAAGGGCGTCTAGGGGCAGAGGGATGACAAGATGACCTCCCCAAAAGAAGAACTGGTACTAGATAATGGAGCAGATAAGGGGTCAGGATTTTCTCCCTATCTTATCCAGCCTGGGCATTCATTTTCCGAGGCAGTCCTCACCCTAGTCACCATCCTTTGCCTGGCGACCTGAATCTCCTGATACTGGGAAGTGTCCCATTATAGGAGTGGAGAACAGAGCAAGGAGAGATTCCAGAGGTTGGATGGGGCTAGGGCTGGAACTGGAAGATAAGGTCTCAACAAGAAATGAAACAGAAATGGTTAGACTTATCTAGCTGGTCTTCAGTCTCTGGCCCGAGACCTGCACACACTGATTATCCACAAGGCATAGGGGGAGGAGGGTGGATGGACTTATTAAAATCTCCAGGATTACCCGGTTGGTGTGGCTCAGTGGATTGAGCGTCATCCAATGGACTGAGGGTTCCCAGTTCGATTCTCGGTTGGGGCACATGCCCGGGGTTGCAGGCTTGATCCCCAGTAGGGGGCCATGCAGGAGGCAGCCGATCAATGTTTCTCTCTCTCTCCCTTCCTCTCTCTCTAAAGAATCAATAAAAAACATATTTATTTTAAAATCCCCAGAATCAGTCTGAGAGCTAGATCCAGAGGTTGTGTTGGATGGGGCCCTCTAGTCCATCAGCACAGTGGAACCCACCCAAGGAAACAGGAGGCAGCTGGAGCTCCTGTGACTCAGTCTTGAAAACCACTTCCCCCTTCAGGAGGAAGGAGGCAACACGCGAGGAACTTGGAGGGTGCAGGTAAATCTGTGCAGAGTCCAGAACAAGCTGGAAGAAGCTGCTGGCTCTCACCTTCAGCTCAAAGACCACCCAGTGAATCTTGAACTGGACCTGTATTCACCTCCCACCTTCCAAAAACCTCAGCTTCTCTCCACCTCCAAGAGACTCAGGCAGGACTGCAGTGGAGGCAAGGGCCCCTGGGCAACCGCAGCAATATCCGGGCTGGTTTCAATCCCCACCTCCACCCTCAGAGCCCATTCTCAGGAAATGTTGAAAACCACAGTTCGAATGTCCTGAACATATGCCCACTCATTGGGCTGGGCCTTCCTTGGTGGAGGTCACCACAATGTGTCACTCTCTGGCCTCATCACCCAGCTAGCCCACCATATACATGAGCTGGGAGATAAGAAGGAAGAACTCACCAAGGAAGGAGCAATCCAGAGAACCCACACAGCAGAAACAGGCTCCCTCTCACTGTTCTCTGCCTTTATTCTCTCTCTCCAATCCCCAGGAAATCAGGGGAGGGACAGGGCCAATAAGAAGGGGCCAGGGACATGAGGAACCCAGGTCAGAGCCTCCTGGGACAGACCTGGGAGAAATTCCTTTTGCCAATCTCACCTTCCTATTTCCAAACAGAGGAGACTGGGCACATTGAACCCACTGTGGCATACACATCTTCGGCCCCAGAAACTCTGTTTTCCCAACCAAAACCAGAATTCACAATCTAGTGGGTCAACAGGGCAAAAGAGAAGAAGCCAGGCTGTCTTAGAAAGAAGACCTAAGAGATGTGGGCCAAACACAGGGTATCACCCATGCCCTAGGCCACTGTCCACTTGGGCCCTCCCACCCCACCAAGAGCAGAGCAGACACACCTGGATATGGGAATTAGTGGGAGAAGATGTTTCTTGCCGAAGGCATGATCCAGGTCGTTTAGCTAGTATAGAGCCTAAGGTTTTTAAAGGGCTTTTAAATGAATGATTTCATCTAAACAGCACTCAACTTCATGGGAAAGAACTGTCAGAGACTCTTGGAACAAAGGATTGAGAATCAGGGATCGGGTAGGGGATCCCGGGAAGGGTAGGTCCTAGTGATCAGGTAGAGGTTTCAGTTGTGGGAGCAGGTTTCAGGGGCAGTAATGAATGAAGTAGGGGGTCAGGGAGAGTTGCCTTACTCGGAGAGAGACTCATTGTTCTACCACTGACCAGTCCAAGTCTGAGAACAGAACTGAGTTAGGGGCTTAGCACCTATGGCTACTGCAGCCCCCCCCCCCCCCAAGCTTGCCTGGGCCCTCCCTGCTGGCCCCACTCCCAACTGGCAAGGCTAGAGAGGCAGCAGGGACTGGTTGGCTGGCAACAGGAGTTTCCAAAGTGGAGAGTAAAGCAGGAGGCGGCTCAGGGGAGGACCCCCCCACCCCAGGATGATGGGTGGACTTGGGCGGGGCAGAGGGCAGAGAGAGATGGGGGAAGAAGTGAACTGTTTTTGTGGACCAAAGTTCTACCAAAGCCTCAGTAGTCACATTCTGAGGGAATATCTGAGGCATCTACAACGTTCTTCTGAAACTTGAGAGAAAAACCCACTGTGATGAGAAGAAAGGGTAAACCTTGAAAGGTCAAGGGACCAAATCCTCCGGGCTTCTGGACCTGCCCTCTACTCAGCTCTTCCTTAAAGGTCCCCATACCACCTAGGTGTGGCCTGGAAACCTAACTTCAGTCCCCCCACTGCAGGCGGTAACCACTGGCCTCTAACCTAAAGCAAAGCAACATCATGCCTGATATTTTCGGGGGGAGGAAGGTAAATCTCAATTTTACTTATCAGATCATATGTCTGGAATTCTGTCTTCAAAATTATGGTCACCTCCCACTGTCTCCCTCACTCCCACCCCAGCCACTGTCCTCCACTTATTCCTTCCGAGGTCCTTTGTCCTCCTCTGAAGGAACTAATAGCAGATTTCTAACTAATAGCAGATTTCTAACTAATAGCAGATTTCTAACTAATAGCAGATTTCACTCATTCCAGGACCTTTGGGACAGAGACAGGGGTTAGAAAAGGGTGATATTCTCAGGCTATTGCTAACGGCCTGGTTTCCCTCCACAACGCCTCTCTGATCCAACCACGTCCAGGAAGGACTCATCCACCCCTGGGGGTATGCACTGGAAAGCAGCAGCAGGACGGGGCCTAGGCTGTGTCAGGACTGGGGTTCACAAACTCCATTCCAGACACCAATCGGGAGCAGATGTGACCTTCAACCCACCCCAGCCTCAGTTAGAGGTCCTGCCAGAGACACCAGTGGAGAGTCAGGAGGGGCGAGTGCTCTAGCGAAGATCTCACATCCCAAGCCTCTAGGGGCCCCTTTATCTGCCTTTGGTCCCATCAGAATCAGTTCTGTCACACACACACACACACACACACACACACTCACACACACACACAGAGTCACAGCACATCTCTCCCCCACCTCCACTAGTCTTCTGTCCACAAAACTGCAGCTCAACTCCCGGCGCTCCCACCGCCATATCCCTCAGCCCCCGTCCCATGCCCCCAGCATCTTTCAGACCATCAGCCACATAGTTTTCAAAAATCTTTATTGAATTTGCTCAGCATCCTGCACACGTCTGAAGGAGCCAGGGTGAGGCTTTTTGCCCACTGCGCACAGGGAAGACCCTGGCTGGCAGGCCCCGCAGCATCTGAGGAGCCCTCATTTCTTCCGGGGCTGCTTATCGGGGAAGCCCTCAAAGAACTCATTGCACATCATGGCAATGCAGGAGAGGAAGACACAGTACTCCTGGAAATCCACCTCATTGTCCTTGTTGCTGTCCAAATTGCTCATCAGCTTCTGGAATGCTGCTTCATCTGTCCTTTTCTGCAGGGGAAGAGGCTGCAGGTAAACACAAGAAGCCCCGGGAACAGAGCCGAGACTAGACTAGGTTCCCACCAGCAGGTGGGGCTTAGGAAGGCCACTTCTGGGGGGCCAGCCAGGCTAGGTGTCTTCCTCTCCTGCGTCACTATGATATGCGGGTGAGGGACTCTGGGTACCAGGATACAACTAGAAAAGGGGACCACATCTTCCTCCAAAGTCTTTTTTTTTTTTTCTTTATTGATTTTAGAGAGGAAGGAAGAGGGAAAGAGAGATAGAAACATCAATGAGAGAGAACATCGATTGGCCACCTCCTGCATGTCCCCACTGGGGATTGGGCCCACAACCTGGGCATGTGCCCTGACTGGGAATCGAACTAGCGACCTCCTGGTGTATGGCTCACTGCTCAACCACTGAGCCACACCAGTCAGGCTCCCGCAAAGTCTTTTTAAGAATCCAATTAGACAATGGTCATGAAAGCAATATATAAATTGTTGATACACGTATATAAATATATACAATATATTTATATATATACAATATATAAAGTTGATACAGATGGAAGCTGTGATTGATACAGGCAAATAATCATGTGAATGTCTCCATAACTGTGTCTTCACATCTAAAAGCCTAATAGAAACTCGAAAATTGTTTTTGCTGGAGTGATGGTGGACCATCCTGGTTCGCAGATCTCAGCTTTGCATCCTGACTATCTTGGGAAGTTACTTCGCCTCTCCGAGCTTTAGTTGTCCTCCAGTTAAGTTGTGCAAAGCCCCTGGCCAATTGTCTAGCCTGTAACCTACCTGTTCATTCTCAGCCACCTTTCTTCTGGGCACCTGGATGTGAGTGGTGGGTGCTCACTCTTTTCCAACCCAGACAACCAGAACAAGGTCTCTGCCCCCACATCCCCAACTCAGTGATAGATGCCGGCTGTAGCCACTGCTCAGCAGAAAGACTGGTGCCTCTCAGGGCCCTAACCCCTCCTCTGGGGAAACACCCCAGGGGAGAATTCACTTCCAGGAAGTAGTCACTCACCCCCAAGAAGCTGGGCATCTCCCGGGTCAGCAGCTCCTTTAGCTCAGATTTGTTGAGCTTGAACTTGTCACCTTCCTTGCCCGAGTACTTGTGGAAAGTGGACACCATCACATCCAGGGCCTTCTCCAGGGGGTAAGCCATGGTGGCAGTCGAGATCTGGGGGTGGGGGTCACAGAGGCACCCTTATCTTCCCCACCCCACCCCAGCTATGTAATTAGAACCCCCTACCCCACTCCCATTGCTCAAGGAGCACTTGGTGACATTCTACTCCCACCACAGGGAGAGCCCGAAAAGGTGGGGCTCAGGTCCTGGTGGGGAGGGTGTGCACACTAAGAACTGTGAGCTTCAGCAGCAAACACTTGCAGGGGCCACTGCACAGGCTCTAGGTTTCAGGCAGCAAGCTCCCAGGACCTCATTCCTTCCATTCAGTCCCACAGCTCAGCCCACAGCAGCCCGCCCAACTCATTCTTCTCCCTCCCAGCGTTGGGCGAGGCTGCTGGAGGCCTGCCCAGGAGTTTGTAGCGGAAAACACCAGCTCTCTAGCATAGGGAGGGGCAGGGTGAGGTGGCAGAGGCAGGGATGCAGTGGAGGCCAAGCTCCCTTGGGCTGGGCTGCTGGGTGCTGGGCAGAGGCTCACGGGACACTACCAGACAAAAGCCCACAGTTCCCTTCTGCCTTCTCCTTTGCTTCCCACACCAGAGTATGCACGCACAGCCTTGTGCAAGCCAGCAAGCACAAGCCAATGTACACACCCACAGGTCACACACACACCAAACACACTACAGCAATTAGACATACTACAGCTCAAATACAGCCCCTTGCACGCATCTTTCTTTTTGTTTTCTCTCTTGCACATGCACAGGCACGGGCACACTCACATTCCACCCAGTAACGCCACATCAGAATTTCACATCTGGCCCCATTTAGCACATCTGGCCCCCACCAGCCTCCCTGGTCCCTACCCCGAGCCTCAGCCTAACACCCCTTGCATACCAGTCAAATGACCATAACTCACCAGTTCTAGAAGAGGAAACACTGAAGAGAGGATTGGGGAGACAGGAAGAGTGGGGAAAGCCCAGCGGTCTGACCTATTTATACCCCGGCCAGGCCCTGCCCATGGCAGGATGAGGGAAAGTAGGAGACAGCCCTCCTGCCTGGGCCAATGTGGTGCGTGCCAGGGCCCTCTCCACCATCCCAGCCTGGAAACCCAGCTCTCTGCCCTAGGAGCCAAAGATAGACAACGGGAAAAACCCCAGTGGGCACAGGAAAGGGACCTCAATGAAGTGGGCAACCCCCACGAATGTACAAAGCTCTGCATGAGTTTTAGGGAGCTGGAGGAAGGGACAGTCTATGCCTGGGGCATGGGGACAGGGAGCAAATGGCCACACCCAGCAGCTAGGAAAGGAGACACAGGGGTGGTGATGGCTAGGAAATTACCCTGAAAATGTGACTATCCAGGAACTAATGGAGAGGATCCCAGGCTCAGAGCTTAGGACAGCTCATGTTGTCTTTCTTCCCTCCCAAAGGGCTCTCTGCCATGCTGAGTGAGACCCAGGGCAGGAGCTGCAGGTCTGGGGGAAGGGACTGGCTAACACCCCAAGGAGACCCTGGGACCCAGGCTATTCAGTGGAGAAGGGACCCCAGTGAGGTAGTGATGGAGTAGGAAGTGGGAGTCAGGCATGGGAGTTCAGGGATGGATTGAAGGTACCAGGAGCAGGTGGGGCGGGGAGGGCATCAGGAGCGGGAGTTTAGAGTTGGTGGGTGTCAGGAATGAAGAATGGGTTGCAAAGTTAGAGGTGAAATGGCACAAAGTGGAGGGAGTTAGGGATCATACTTAACCCCTCAGGGTGGGGTATGAATTCAGGGATTGAGTGAGGGTCACAAATCAGGGGTTAAGACCCTCAGGTGGCTGTGGCTTCAGGAATAGGGTCAGTCTCAAGTTCTCCTTTTCCCCTTCCAATGCAAGGACAACACCCTATTCAGACCTCAGGCCTCTAATCCTATTAGTGCTGCGCTCTGGGCTCCCACCGCCTGGGGCAGGGAACAAACCAGCCCCACCCCCACAGCTCCACCCTCACTCAGAACATCCTGTCATGAGGACTGAGTTCCATCCCCAGAGAACTTCAGGCTGCCCTCTCCCTCGTCAACAGCTCAAAGGAGCTTCTCCCTCAAAGACGAGAGAGGGAGAGAGAAAGAGAGAGAGAGAGAGAGAGACAGAGAGAGACAGAGAGAGAGAGAGAGAGCGCCTCCCCTGGAGAGAGAGAGAGAGAGAGAGAGAGAGAGAGAGAGAGAGAGCCTCCCCTGGACATCATCCTTGTGTGGACCCCATCTCCTCCTGCTGGACCGCTGAGATGATTTTGTTTCTGCAGGACCTGAAACTGCCCTCCACCTCCTGTTCAGTGGAAAAAGCCAGAGGAGCAAAGATGTCAGCAGACTCTGCCCCAAGGCTCTGGCTGTCCTTTAGAAGAATCACACCAAGCCAAGTGACACCAGTTCTTTATTAGGAGTTAAGTAGGCCTGTTCCTGCTGTGGTTTTGTTCATGCACACACTCTGCTGGGCCTGGACAGCCTCAAAGCAGATCCCCCACCTCCGTCCATCTGCAAGCCACTAGCTTGTGATCCTGGGAACAGGTCCCCTCATGTGTCACCCACCATAGGCAAAATGGATTAAGATATCAGGGGAAACCTGGGAGACCCCCGATGGAGTGGGTGCAGGAGAGAGGGGAGGGTGGCTGTGGGTAACACGCCCAGGACCACCTCAGGGCAGAGATGGAGCAGATCTGAGCAGACCTCTGCCTACAGTGCTGGAGCAGAGGCTACTGGGAGCAGGGGGGCTCTGGGGGACAATCCTTGAAGTGGTCATGGCAGCAGACGCAGAGGCAGGCAAGTGAGCGCATGTACTCCACAAAATCCACCTCGCAGTCCTTGTTGGTGTCCAGAGCACTCATGAGTTTATTGTAGTCACAATCCCGAAACTCCGTCTGTGGGGGAGATGGGTGAGGTTGATGGGGGGCAGGTGAAGAGGGCAAAATGCCTCACATACATGCTGCTTCCCTTCCCCCACTCCTGGGTGATCCCACCCACCCTTACCCACACCCCTTCTGGGAGCCAACCTCAGCCTACCTGCCCTGATAACTCACCATGCCAATCCCCCTCCCAAACCCGCTTTCTCAGATCATTTACTGAGTGCCTCTCTGTGTCAGACATTCGTCACAGAGCTCTCAGCAGGTGTGATGAGGAAACTGAGCTTCCTGTCAGTTCCCTTCCCAGCATTCCCTTCCCATGGTCCAGCCTCCCACCTCTTGCTGTCCTATGCTCAGAGCTTGTCCAAGCAATGCTTCCCCAAGGGGTGGGCACCCCACGTGCTCACCGGGGTCCAGTTGGGCAGCTCCGTCTGTAGCAGCTCCTTGAGCTCTGCCTGGCAGAGCTTGTGCTTGTCCCCACAGCGCCCCGCATATTCCCGGAAGGTGCACACGATGGTAGCCACCGCCTGCTCCAGAGGCCTAACCATCCTCACTGTCACAGAATAAGGATGTGACCCACAGCAGAGGCCCAGGTCACTGCCTGCCCTTCAGGTTTCCGGGACTGCTCCCAGACCTGTCCTAACCTCCACCAGGCTCCTGGCCCCACAAGCCCCTCCTCCTGATCAGCCCTCCCAGATCACACCAGTGCCACCTAATTTATTTCTCTGCTGCCCCCATCCCACCCCCATCGTTATTTTCCTAGACAGGTCTCATTTCTCCATCTCTGCAAACTCCACGGAGTCCCTGATTATCCCCACCTTTTCTCATCCCAGACACCCAGGAAGGACTCAGTCCCACTCTGCACCACCCCAGGACATACAGCCCTTGGCCCTGGAAGTCTTCTCCCCTTCAAGACCCCAGAGTTTCTGTAGGAACTTGCTCAAAGAGACCCTTGTCCCACGCTCCCTGTCCTCGGGCCCTTGGAGAAGCTGGGCATTCTCAGGAAAGGTCAGGTCTAAGAGGGACCCCCACCACCTCGCCCCCTCACCACCCCTCACCATCCCTCCTCCCCTGACTCAGGAAAGCTGCACCCAAAGGAAATACTTCTGGGATCTTCTCTGCCTCTCACTAGCTGTGCAACCCTGGATGAGCTGTTTACCCTGTCTGGGTCTCTGGTGCCATCTCTATAAAGTGGGGCAACCTTACCTCAGAGGCCTAGACAGGAAGCCAGCTCAGTATTTACCGAATTCACCTATCTCTAATCTACCCCATCTGAGGCCATCCCCCTGACCTCTGGGGGTCTTCAGACAGAAGGCTCTGCATAGGGGTACCTTGTTCTGTTAGAGGGGGAGCCCTTCCTGGGATTTCCCCCCACCCCATCCCATGGCCCCTTTCACTGCCCTTCTGGGAGGACACCTCCAGCCTGGTGAAACCATAAGGCAGCCAGGAAGGCAAGTGTTGTTTTCAAGTGAGTCCAGTGACTCACTCTTGGTTCCCCCAGGAGACAGGAGTCTTGCAACACAAGAGAGCCAGGGCCAAGCCTCTCCCCCTAGTGACTCCCCCTCTTCTGGGCCCTATGGTGCAAATGACCAGCAAATGGTTGAGGCTGTGGGGGAAGGGGAGAAAGGGGTGATGGGGCCAAGCATTCCCAAGGGTCTAACTCTTTGTAACAGCCCAGGATTGAAGCAGGGTGTTTGGGTTCCCAGGAGAGGAAAGGGCTGTGATCCCAGGGAATAAGGAATCTCAGAGGTGCTTGGCTGCCCTTCTGGGCTCCTGCCAGCCTGCCTGGCGCCACCACTGTTGTTTTTCCAGAAGCTTGGTGCCTGGAAACTGGAGGGAATCCTCTCTTCCCCATGCCTCCTGGCCTGTTTCAACCCATTGGCAGGAAAGAAGGAAGGAGGCAAGGGGGAAGAGGAGGGAGCTAGCTGAGGGTAGCACCCGTGCTTCCAGCCTATCGCCCCCACCCCAGAGCCAGACCTCAACTCTATACACCCTCTAACCCAAACTTCCCATCAGCCCCCCACTGTACAAAGAAAACCCTGAGTCCACCATGTCTGACTTTCCTCACCTCATCAGACCCTGCTGTGGTTATCCCTCCAGCCCATGTCAAGATCCTGGGCCAGAAGACAGACCCTGAGCTGCCCAACACCCAATCCAGAGCAGGACCCAAGCATCTGGCACTTACCACTGGTGTTGGCGTTTCAGCTGTAGGAGTCTAAAGGCAGCACACCCCTATTTGTAGTCTACCAAGGACGGAAGGGAGCAATTACAGGGGAGTCCAAGTGGGTCAAGCTGAGGGTGCCCCCAGGCACCTCTCCTGCCTCCTTCCGGGGAAGCCCCTATTATAGGCCTACCCACCCACCTATCCATGCACACATCAAAGGCTCAGTCTGGGCCTCAGTCACCATCCTCCTTCATTCCCCTTCTGACCTCCCCCAGAACTGGGAACTGGGTGACAGCCTCCAGCCCATCTCCTTCTGTCATTGGAGAAGACAGGCTGGACTAGTCCATGACACCCATCCTCTATAGTTCTCTCTGAACAGGCACCACAGAACACAACGTGGGAACACACTCTAACCTGGAGTAAGTTTGTATCCCCAGAGAGCCCCTGTGCCGGAGGGGATCTGGAGGAACTGGTTAAGGCCTTCACTTATAGGTGAGACAATGGGACATCCCCCTGCCTGATCCCCAGATCGCTTTGCTTTCGGGGAGATCATCTATGGGATGTATTGGGGAGGATACATTTTTATTGTACCTTTCTAGGCTCTTTGGCTGGTCTAATAATCAAATTAACATAAGACAGATAAACAGGAGAAAAAAAATTCAATTTTGTACATACAGGGCAATCCATAAGAATATGCGGCCCACAGGTGGCCAGGCAAGTGAGGCTTATGCGCTGTTCTGAACTAAGGACAAGGGGTTAGGTTCTGGGACTTCAAAGGGGAGAAAGGCAATACACATGGAGATGGAAAAACAAATATTTGCTAGGTCAGAAGGAGACAATGGGACACAGAGAGGACTCTGTCTCCAAGCTGAGTCTCCTCGCCCACACCTAGGCCACATTCTTTGCAGATCTTTCTGGTGGTAATGCGCTTCCTGGCCAGCCTCTTTATCTAAATGTGTTTAGGCAGCTAAGGGGAACATAAAAGTTCTTCCTGA